GATTGAGGTTGGATGTCAGGGGGAAGTTGTTTGCTGTGAGAGTGGTGAGGTGCTGGAACAGCTGCCCAGAGAGGCTGTGGATGCCCCGTCCATCCCTGCAGGTGTTCAAGGCCAGGTTGGATGGGGCCCTGGGCAGCCTGGGCTGCTCTGAAATGTGGAGGTTGGTGGCCCTGTGTGTGGTGGGGGGTTGGAGCTTCATGATCCTTGAGGTCCTTTCCAAGCCTGGCCATTCTATGATTCTGTGATCCCTGGGGATGTTCAGAACAGTGGGGATTGGCATTAAGGATGTGGTCAGTGGGAGCAGTGGGGATGTACTAGGGTTGGGCTTGGGAATCCTAGAGGTCTTTTCCAACCTCAATGATTCTGTGATTCTATGATGCTATGATCTGTGTTGCCTTGAGATGGTGGCAGATGAGGCTGTGGGGCCGCACGTGCCAGTCCAGGTCCATCCTGAATGCACCATACATGGCCAACCCACCGACTGTCCCATTTGTCATCCACAGGCACTTCACCCAGTGAGGAGGGGACCATCAGCATGTCCAACTTCACAGCTGGGAGGAACTCGTGCACCTTCCACGAGGAATTCAAGCAGGTCCTGCTGCCCCTGGTCTACTCAGTAGTGTTCCTACTGGGGCTGCCACTCAACGCCTTTGTCATTGGGCAGATCTGGCTGGCCCGCAAAGCGTTGACCCGCACCACCATCTACATGCTGAACCTGGCCACAGCCGACCTGCTCTACGTCTGCTCCCTCCCTCTCCTCATCTACAACTACACCCAGAAGGATTACTGGCCCTTCGGGGACTTCACCTGCAAATTCGTCCGCTTCCAGTTCTACACCAACCTGCACGGCAGCATCCTCTTCCTCACCTGCATCAGCGTCCAGCGCTACATGGGGATCTGCCACCCCTTGGCCTCGTGGCACAAAAAGAAAGGAAAGAAGCTGACGTGGCTGGTGTGTGCTGCGGTGTGGTTCATCGTCATCGCCCAGTGCCTGCCCACCTTCGTCTTCGCCTCCACCGGCACGCAGAGGAATCGCACTGTCTGCTACGACCTGAGCCCGCCGGACCGCTCCACGTCCTACTTCCCCTACGGCATCACGTTGACCATCACCGGCTTCCTGCTGCCCTTTGCAGCCATCCTGGCCTGCTACTGCAGCATGGCCCGCATCCTGTGCCAGAAAGATGAGCTGATTGGCTTGGCGGTGCACAAGAAGAAGGATAAGGCCGTGCGCATGATCATCATCGTCGTCATCGTCTTCTCCATCAGCTTCTTCCCCTTCCACCTCACCAAGACCATCTACCTGATCGTCCGCTCCTCACCCACCTTGCCCTGCCCGACCCTGCAGGCTTTTGCCATTGCCTACAAGTGCACACGGCCCTTTGCCAGCATGAACAGCGTCCTCGACCCCATCCTCTTCTACTTCACCCAACGCAAGTTTCGTGAGAGCACCCGTTATCTCCTGGACAAGATGAGCTCCAAGTGGCGGCACGACCACTGCATCACCTATGGATCCTAGGTGGACGAGGCCACCTCGGTGTCACCGGGGTTGGGCATGGAGCAATTGGGGTTGAAGCTGCATGGTGCGGAGATGGGGATGCGCCCAGAGAGCTGTGGGTGCCCAATCCCTGGAGGTGTTCAAGACCAGGTTGGATGGGGCTCTGAGCCCTCATGGGTTGGAAATAGATGATCTTAGAGGTCTCTTCCAACCCAAGCCGTTCCATCATTCTACCATCTCCCAAGCTTCCAGACTGACTTCCATCCCATCTTCAGCCCACAGCAGTGTGGAGAGCATCCCAGAACAGAGCCCACATGGTGTCTGTTGGCTCTCGCCAATTGCTCAATGCCATCCTGGTTTTAGCTGCTTTGTGCCAAGTTTTGGTGGAGGCTGAGGCATCAACACAGTAAATGTCACCGGTGGGACCAGTGTTCAAAGCTTCTCCTCATCTTATGGGCCCGTACCATCCCTGGGAAGGATTTCTGGGGTCTGGGAAATGTGGCTCTGTATTTTCCCCAGTGAAACTGTGGAGCAGTTCAGGGGTCCAGAATACCAATAGCCCCCAGAATCTCCATGGCTCCAGGAGAGGAAAAGTTCAATGTCATGGACGTTTCACTGGTAACTCTGGGATATCCCAAAATGGGACTGGACCAACAAGAGACATGGGCCCAGTGGTGCAAGAGAGCACCCCCAACCAGACTGGGAGCTGAGAAGGGGGAATGAGGGGAACTGGGACACAAATGCCACATTTCCCACCCAGGCGATGGCCACGGGCTGATAGGCACATGCCAGCATCACTGTCCTTGGACTCTCAGCATCCTCTGTCTCCCAGAACCCCACATCTGATGTGCATTCTGCAGGGCGACAGTGCTGAGCCAAGGAATCAAAGCATTGTGGTTTGCATGGGACATCATCCGGACGAGGCTGAGCCATTGCCACCAAGACACTGGGCACTCTGGATGTACCTCTAACTGCTTTGCAGTCTTTAACGTATAGGATGATGTATAGAATAAACCTACCCTCCTTTTTCCTGTATGTACCCAACAATATTCACATGCCATATGTACCCATATATTCATCACCCAAGCAGAGGAAGGTTGCAGCACTGCTCAGATACGCTCCACTCAAAATACACCTCAATTATCCACACCACACTGTGTGTGTGCCTATATGTGTGTAGATCTGTGGGTGCCATGTATCTCACAGGTGCTGGTGTGCAATAATCACATCTAAGTCAGTTTAAGCAATTTGCTTTCAATCTCAGGAATTAGCAGCCCTCTAGACTGGATGCTTATGCAAAGCAACCCAGCCAGGCTCCCCAGTTAATCCCAATGCACTGCATCTGGATGCTCTTGAGCTCTTCCTTCTCTTTGTCAAAGCAAACGCAAAGAGCTGGGACAGGGTGCCTTTGGTTGGGATGCAGGAGGCAATGGAGGAGACAGGGGTGGCCTTGGAGTGGCCTTGGGGTGGACTTTGGGTGGACTTGGGATAGACTTGAGGTGGACTTGAGGTGGCTTTGAGGTGACTTTGGGTGGCCTTGAGGTGGCTTTGAGGTGGACTTGAGGTGGACTTGGGGTGGATTTGGGGTGGACATTGAGTGGCCTTGGGTTGGACTTGAGATGGACTTTGGGTGGACTTCGAGTAGACTTGGGGTGGACTTGGGGTGGATTTGAGATGGATTTGGGGTGGACTTTGAGTGGCTTTGGTGGACTTGAGGTGGACTTTGGGTTCCCTTTGGTTATGGCCAATGAAATCTCTTCCAATGCTTTTTTTGGGGTCTCCCATCCCCACAAGGCCGCGTGATGCATTAATATGGGTGGTTGGAGGGACAACCCCGAGGGGATGCAGCTGTCCCCAAGTTTTCCCGGACAAAGGAGAAGAGGGTGTTGGGCTCAGGTTCGGCCACACCGCCCGGACCCAGGAGAGGGCGCAACGTCTTCAGGTTTGGAAAGGGCGAAAAAAAAAAAAAAATCTCCGGATTTCGGAAAGTGCACAAAATCTTTGGGTTTTTGGAGAGGACGTCAGATTTGGGGGCTTGGGGGAACGTGCACAGGGGGGTGGAGGGCTGCAGGTAGCATCCCAAGACCAACACCTTACACCAAGTGGATGTAGGGCTGACTACGGGAAGTTCTGCAAAACGATGCCAAGGGAAGTCTAAAAAAGGCAAAACTGGACAGATTTTGTATTTCCCCAGGAGCTCAGATGCCCCCAGGCTACCTTTGTGGGGTGTGCAAGTAGACACTAACCACCACTCAGTGCATGGGAGAGGTTTGGGGACCCTGTGGGGGCACTCCAGGTTTGGGGCAGGGTCACTCAGGACACCACCAGGAGGTCTGGGAGGTGGAAGTGCCAACTCTGTGTGCGCTCAGGACACTCGGAGCTCAGCTGATGGGCTTCTGGTCTGCCCAGCCTTGGGGTCTGGTGGCTCCTTCTCAGATCTGTGGTGTGGATGTAGTGGTGGTGGTGTTACCCTATAGTGCCACCAGGCCTAGAGGACAAGGTGATGGGCACAGCAACTCCTGGGGGATGGGGTGGAAGGGGACACTTGGAGACATTTCTTGCATTCTTGCAGCCCAAGGAGCAGTTCCTGCAGCACCAAAAGCAGAAGAAACATAAAGCTCTTCCCTAAATCACATCCCAAATGCCAGGGGACAGAGTGGGGACACCCAGCCCTGGGGGGCAGAGGGGCAGAGGGAAAGGGAGAGTTGAGACAGAACCCCCCCCTCCCTCCACCCGGGGCTCAGGGACCTACTGGAGGCACTTGGAAGGTTTTCCGTGCCCCTGCAACAGAGAGAGCAGAGTCCTTTCCGTGGTGCCACAGCAGAGCAAATCGAGGTTATCCCATTCATTTTCGTTTCCTCCGTGATAAACCCTTGGGAGATGGAGATCAGTGCCTGCAAGCACGGAGCGCTGGCAGCGTTTGGAGGCTGAAAAGCCACGAGAACATCGTTAAGCAGAGCAGAGCGCTGCCAGGGCTCGTGGAAAGTCGGGGATGGGGCAATGCAGGAGGAATTCGGGCGGGGGGGAGGGGGAGGGAGGAAAAGGGTCTCTGCCTTCAGCCCCGACTTTTAACCTCCTGATGGGGTTTTCCCCGCAGAAAGCAAAAAAAAAAGTTGAGAGAGATGGAGAGGGAGGAAGGGATGGGGAGGGAGGAGGGATGCGGGGGGTGACTGCTCGGCCTGCTCTCCTTCTGCTGTTGCCAAAAAAAAAGAGAAGGAAAAAAAAAAAAAGGACAATCCGCAGCCCTGCAACCATCCCCCTCTGCAGGAGGAAACCACGCCTCTCGGGGAAAGTTTATTTGAATGCAACAAATAAAAAAGAAGGGGGTGAGGGAAAAAAAAAAAAAAAAGAGGGAGGGAGGGAGGAAAAAAAGCTGGAAAAAAAAGAGAGAGAGAGAGAGAGAGAGAGAAAACAAAGCGGGAGGGATGAAGGCCGGCGGCGGCCCGGAGGAGGAGCGGGGCCGGGCGGTGCCGGGGGGCAGCGGGGGGCGGGCGGAGGCGGCCCCGGGGGGGGCACACAATGGCGGAGGGGGGCAGCGGCCGGGGGGCATTGCAGGGCCGAATGCTGCCCGCCTCCTCCCCGCCTTCCTCCTCCTCCTCCTCCTTCTCGTTCCCGGCTAGGAAAGTTTCGCCGCCGCCGAACGCCGAATCGCCGGGTCGGGCGTTCCGCAGCCTGGCCCCATCGGTTCGTCAGCTTTCCCTTCGCTTCGCCGAGCCGGAGCCAGCACCGGGCCCGGCCCATGCCGGGACGCCGCCGCCGCCGCCGCCTCCTCCTCCTCCTCCTCTTCCTCCTCCTCTACCGCCTCGGGGGCCGGCGCTGAGCGCGGAGCCGCCGCGCTGGCCCAGCGTCCCGGCGATGCGCAAACTCTTCGGAGAGAACGGACGGCGCTCCCCGGGATGCGGAGCCGGGAGCGGCTCCGGACGGGCATCGCAGCCCCCTCCGCCTCCGCCCCGCAGCCGCGTCCCGCACCCCGCGCTGCGCGCTGCCCGCGGAGCTCCGCCGGGGCCCGGCCCGCATTCCTGGCATAGCTCAACCCACCCTCCTCCTCCTCCTTCCTCCTCTTCTTCTTCCTCCTCGTCCCGCAGCCTGGAGGAGCCGCGTCGGGGTGCGGAAAGCGAAGGGCGAAGCGCCCAACGTTTGGCCGAGAGGGACGGAGAGGCGCCGGGCAAAGCGGGGAGCAGGCAGCCGCTGGCCCCCGCCGGCCCCGTGGTTGCCCGCGTGGCCAAGGTGAACCTCCTGCCCTTCGGCAGCCCCGCCGGGAGCCGCTACGCCAGCAGTGAGACGCTGAAGGAAGAGGAGCAGCCAACGGGCTGCTGGGCATTGCACGGAGGACGCCGATCGCCCGCTTTGGGGCCGAGCGATGGGTTGGCGTGGGGGCAACCCCAAATCCGAGCCCGGCCCAAGTTGCCTTCGGGCATGGCCAAGGTGAGGACGGATTTGGGGAGCGATGCTCTACAGCTGGTGGGAGACCGCGCTGAGCACCGCAAGTCTTTATCCAACCCCGACATCGCCACCGAGACGTTGACTCTGCTCAGCTTCCTCAAGTCGGACCTGTCGGAGCTGAAGGTGAAGAAAAAAGGGGTGAGGATCGGCGAGGCCGCAGCCTACGACGTCCCCACATCCAACCTTCGGACCCGCGGCTCCGCTCAGCCCTCCGGCCGCTGGGCGCCGGGCGAACGGCCCACCCTGAAGGACCTGACGGCCACGTTGCGTCGCGCCAAGTCCTTCACCTGCTCAGACAAGTCGGGGACGAGACGGTTCTTCCTGCAGAGCGCCATGAAGCAGAGCTCCTCCGAGCTCCTCCTGGCCTCTGCTGGCAGCCACGACGGTGGGAGGCTGGGGGATGATGAGGACGCGCTGCCCGTGGTCATCCAGGATCAGTACATCCAGGAGGCCAGGCAGGTCTTTGAGAAGATCAGCAGGATGGGCTCCCAGCAGGACTATGGCTTGGCGGCCGAGCAGAAGGACAGCGGAGGTGTGGATGGAGCTGTGGAGGTGGCACCGATGGCGGGGATGGATGTGGCCCTTCGGGGGCAGCCAGTGAGCATGCAGTGTTTGAAGAAAGTGGAGTTGGAGGAGAATGTCTCTCGCAGGAAGTCCGTGGAGGAGCTGCTGGGTCACGAGTCAAGCGTGACGGATGAGGGTATTGTCACTGAGCCAGAGCCGGGGCCCACTGGCGTGGCCTTGGGAGACCTACACGAAACCTGGCAGCTGCATGACAACAATATCACTGCCACCGAGCCACCTCCACCCCCAGCTCCGGCTGCGGAGGATGCTCTGGTCTGCAAGGCCCAAGCACCATCAGAGACCCCCAGCACACCCAGCAGCTTGCGGCGCCGGCGGAAATTCCCCTCAGTGGGCACCAATGGGGTGGAAAGTGGCGTCGGGGAGGGACCTGGTGAGCCCTACCGCTCCCTGAGTGACCCCATGCCCCACCGGCGTTGTCCGGTGACGGAGGACGCGAAGAATTTCTCCGTTGACAGCAACCTGTTGGGTTCATTGAGCGCCAAAGGTGGCATCCCCCAGCCGTCAGCCATTGCGTTGGCTGGGCACGCGGGCAGCGCAGGCAGCGACCTGTCCCTCTGCAGCGATGGGCTGCGAGATTACAGCAGCCTCATCCAGACCATCGTCAGCCAGCCCGGCGCCATGGATAAAGTCATCGATGAGAAGGGCAATGGGAAAACCATCAAGAAGAAATCTCTGAGCGATCCCAGCCGCCGCGGCGAGCTGCCGGCGGGCGCCTTTGAGGGACCCGGCGAGGCCATCAGTGAGCTGGAGGGCAGCATCCCACCATCCAGCAGTGAGCCCATCCTTTCGGAGCAGAGAGCTGTCCCTGTCTGTCCCCAGGGTGTCGGACACAGCTACGGCTTTGATCCCAAGCTGGCCGAGGTGTTGTCACCACGCGGCGCCCGCCGGAGCTCCAAGAAGCGCAGCGGCCGCGTGTCCCACCAGGAGAACCAGGTGGTGCCCACCACCATGGCCAGAGCACGCCCGGCCACCAAGCACGTGCGGCACACCAGCGAGCCTGCCACCTTCGTCCCCATCACGGTCCCCGAGCCACACGCTGGCCACCATGCCCAGCACCCTGCACTGGAGGCCACCCGTCCCCCTGTCAAATCCTTCCCTGCCCTACAGCCACCGTCACTGGAGGATGTCACCAAGCGTTACATGCTGGCCCTCAACTCCAGTGACACGTCCCCCAGCCCTGGGGATGGGTCCCGCTCCTCGCCTGTGACACCCACCGCCCCTGAGCCCGCCAGGTGCCCACGGCAGCCTGACCCCAAGAGCAAGCCCCAGGTGGTAAGTGCCCACTTTGCCCAAAATTCTGGCGTTCAGTGACACGCGGGATGTTTTGGTGTCCCCTCTCTGCTGCGTGGCTGTCTTTGAGACCAAAGTTTTCTCGTTGTCATGTGCTGTGGGATGGACAAGAGTTGGGTCTGGCCCTTCATGGAAAGATGTTGGTCCTGGGGTGGACAGGTTTTTGGAACAGTTCCCCAAGTAGGTGATTTTGGGATGGAAACAATCCCCAGAGTGGATTGTTTTGGGAATGGAATAGCCCCCCCAAGTAGGTGATTTTGGTATGGAAACAATCCCCAAGGAGGTGATTTTGGGGTGAAAACTGAGTGATCTCTGGGTCAAACAGCACCAAAAGTCCACGGAAGGCAGTTCTGCCCTCAAGGTACATCTCCCAGCAATGCTCTATATGGTCCCCATAAACGAGTGTGCTCTCGTCCAGCAATGGGTGAGTTTGTGCCTGAAATGCTGAATCAAAAATTGCATTTTTGCCTTGGCAGAGGGCTTAAATTGCCTTTTTCATTGGTATTTCTGCTGTTCTGCCCCATTGAGCAAACCAGTGCTTTCCACCCAAAAAATGCCTTGCAATTGCTCTGCATGGGAACGTGCTGAGCACAGCTTTTCCCCTAAAACTCTGCAACTTGAGGCTCACTGGTGACTGTGCTGAATTACGGCTTTATACAGAAATGTTCATTTTTAAAGATAAGGGGAAAAAGCAGGGGGAAAAGTGATTGTGTGTGCTGTAATGTAAAAGTTTAACCCCGTTTATTAGGGGCTCTGAGGTATGGATTTTTGCACATGGGAGTGTGGATAGGGGACACAAAGCTGCTGGAAAAGTGATGCCACACTTGCAAGCGCTGCCACCTCCTACACCCATTGGGCTTTTAATAACTCAGCACGAGTCCTCGTGGGCTGAAATCCCCACATGGCGCTGGGGCGAAGCCCAGAAATACCTGAGCCCCATTTGGGTGGTGATTTATTGCACCAAGAGCTGCAATAATGGGCTGTACAATTTCTTGCAAAGCCTCCAGCAGCCAAGGAAGTGCTCAGGCAGCACAACCCTTGCTGGCCAGGATGAGATGCAAAGTGAGGATATTTTTCCAATAGTGTGTGTGAATATAACAAAATTCGGTTTTTTTTCCCCCATTTTCCTCCCCGAGCATCCCTGGACTGAATGCTTGGGTTCCCAGTGGGTTGTGTTCGAGCTCCCTTTGAGTTCCCACTGTGTTTTGTTGGAGTGCCCTCTAGGTTCCCACTGGGTTGTGTTGGAGTGTCCTTTGGGTTCTTGTTTAAGTTTCCTTTGGGTTTCCACTGGGTTGTGTTGAGTTCTCTTTGGATTCCCACTGGATTGTGCTGGAGTGTCCTTTGGATTCCCACTGGGTTTTATTGGAGTTCCCTCTGGATTCCCATTGGGTTTTGTTAGTGTTTCCTTTGGGTTCCCATTGTTTTTTTTGGTGTGTCCTTTGGGTTCCCACTGGGTTGTATTGCAGTTCTCTCTGGGTTCCCATTGGGTTTTGTTGGAGTTCCCTTTGGACTCCCTTTGGAGTTTCCTTTGGGTTCCCATTTGGTTTTATTGGAGTTCCTTTTGGATTCCCACTGGGTTTTGCTGGAATGTCCTTTGGATTCCTGTTGGGTTTTATTGGATTTCCCTCTGGGTTCCCATTGGATTTTGTTAGGGTTTCCTTGGGGTTCCCACTGGGTTTTGTTGGTGTGTCCTTTGGGTTCCCATTGGGTTTTGCTGGAGTTCCCATTGGGTTCCCACTTGGTTTTGTTGGAGATGCCTTTGCATACTCTTTGAAGTTTCCTTTGGGTTCCCATTGGGTTTTGCTAGAATTCCCATCGGGTTCCCACTGGGTTTTGCTGGAGTTCCCTTTGAGTTCCCTCTGGGTTTTGTTGGAGCTCCCCACACAATCGCCTGTGTTGTCCTACTGTCACATGTACCCTGATGGCACACTCCTGGGCTGCAATAAGGGTCAGGGACTCCCCCTCTTGGACACATCGTGGCTTGGGTTGAGAGGGACCTTAAAGATCATCCGGTTCCAACATTACCCCAGCATCTTCTTGGCAAATCCGAAGGATTTTCTCTTGATGGTGCCAGTGTTGAAGGGTCTCCATAGCCCCCCAGATATGGGGGGCACCCAGGGACACAGGATTTGCTGAACCTACAGCCATCCCATGAATCCATCCGTGCTCCTGCATCGGGTTGGAGCTGCAGCGCCGGCTTTGATCCATGCCCTTGGGCGAGGGTGGCTGCCTTACTGTTATCAGCACCCATTTTCTGCTCAATCCACCTCTTTCCGTGCTCTGCGCTCACCAATTCCCCACCTCCTTCTCCCAACAATTGCAAACGAGAGCAGAAATCCTCCTTGCTGAGTTCCCAGCACCCATGGCCAGGTGGGTGCTGGGTGCTGCGTCACGTCCCACCCCGCAGATGGGTGCGGGTGGCGGCAGGTTGGGTTCTTTTCCCAGCCCCAGGCTGCAGGAATAGCAGCTCACAGCTGCGACGTGCCCTGCTTTCTGCGTGGTTGTTTGCACGATATAATTTATGGATCATGTTGGTGCCGATTCGGTTGACGCCTCCGGGATGGTTGGAAGGGAAGAGGAGATGGAGGGGAGAGGTTCATGGCATTACCATGGCATTGATGGGAGACAGGACCCCAGCACTGTGCTCTTTGGGAGTTGGTTGGGGCGAGTTTTGCTGTATTTTTGGGTGGTGATGGTATAGACCGAGCACTCACCTCCCCATGATGCATCTATGGGGCGAGGGTCTGGTCCATAATAATTGCTGGGGAGTAATTAATGGTTGCAAGAGACCTCATGATCGTGGGGTGAGAAATGCCGTTGGAGAACCAAGCATTGCAGTTCCCAACCAGGAGCATCCAGGCCAATCTGGGACTCATTTGGAGCAGACTCTACCCCAGCCAACCCACCCCAGCACCAGTTGCTGGCAACTGGGAGCCCAGTTGGGCTCAGCATCGCCTTGAGGCCGTGGGACCAATGGTGCTCACCTTGTTCGAACCCGGCACCGCAGGGGCGAATTTTGCCTTTTAAGGCCAACGCTGCGGCCGTATCTTTGAATCTCCCTCCTGCCTCCGAGCCTCTTTGCGCTGCAAAGAACTTAAAGCAGCGTTTTATTTCCCTTTGATTTATTAGAGGGCAGCGCTGGGATGTTTTATTTCAGATGGCACCGACCGTGGCTGGGGGGGTGAGGGGGAACCACGTTGCTTTCATTGTAAGGCACAGCACTGAGGGCTGGATGTAACCTGGGACCTACAGGGAAGAAATCACCCTCATCTTCTATTTATTTTGTCTTGATTTCTCCCCCCTTGGCTGCTCCTCCGCTCCGTTCCGTTGTCATTCCTCCATGGGGGCTTTTGCTCTTCCAAAATGGTCATCTGCGTCACGGCGTCCGTCCGTCCTTCTGTCCGTCTCTGGGAAGTAATGAAAGGGTCTGGTGTTTTCACAGTGCTCTTCCCCAGGGACAACGTTCCTCCTTTCGCAGCTCTGCCTCATCCCATTTCATTAGGAGCTGCCTTTCATTCACCCAGCACTGCTGTCCAAGGGCTGTTTGAGCCCAAACCGCAATCCCCGCAGCGTCCATCGGAGGTGAGGACTCCTGCTCCACCATTCCCAGCACCACCAAGGATTTACTTTCATACTTTGCATTTTTTCCCCAAATTTATTTGGCATGCACGGAGCACAGAGATCCAAAATCCCGAGAAAAACACAGTGCCCAAATCCATCCGGCTGCTCCCAGCGTGGTAGAACCCAACCCTGCCCCAAGGATCCCCCGTTTTTTCAGTGGTGCCTGCTGGGCTGCGTGTGCTGGCGGGTGGTTGCAACGTGCTGTGCTGTAACTGTTTGTCCTGGGCTCCTTCCAGCAGTCCTCTATGGGGCTGGGGAATCCCTGGTGCCGGAGAGCTTCAAACCCATGCACTAGGTTTTTATTTTTGCCCAAACATCCCGCAGCAAAACCCTTTTGCAGCGCAGAGTCTGCAGGGAGAAGTGACACTTTGGAGGCAGCAAGATAAAAAATGCATCATAAATATAAGGAAAAATGAGGTTTCCTGGCAGCAGCATCCCAAAAGCAGATGGGATGGGGGGCACACGTGCTCCCTGGGGGGGTGGAAGATCAGGTATGCTTGCTGCCACGTGCTGTTTGTTGACTTAGAAGCAGTCAGACCCAATGGGAAAATATTGACTTAAACGCAGCACCTTGTAGGACCAGACGTGTCATGGGAACACAGCCTTCCCCCACCTGGTGCTGCCCAGAAGGGACACATGAGAAAAGCTCTCCTAGCATGGAGGGAGGAGGAAAAAGGGAATTTTTTTTTCCCCACTAAAAGTGGGGTTGCAGAGGAGGATGCTGTGCCGGGGTTTTGGTGGGAATGGGGCTTCTTGCAGCATCCTTTGTCCTCACGCCACCCCTCTGCTCCCTTCTCACCCATCTCCATAGGAACCACGTTTTGGGCCATGGTTGGGAGTTTTCTCCTTTTTGTTTTTTTTGCCGTTACTGCAGATCTATAATTACATGGCTGGGGCGGGGAAATCTCAGCTTTTCTCCCCCAGGCGATATTTTGGGTGCGCTGCTTTCGGGTTCTGCCTGTGCCATCAGGCACAGCCCATGGGGACACCAGCTCTGGGAGGGGACATCAGCCCCCTAACAGAAGGGAGAGCACCAATTTGGGGTTTTGGGGAAGCACACTCCAGCGGGGGTGATGGATGGCTGTTGCTTATTGTCACCTCTGGGTACGGCTGTTGGAGGGGTTGGTGATGTAGGGCAGCAGCCACCCCTGTGCCAATGGGGGTAGGGTCAGGATCTGGCCCTGGAGAGAGAAGGTTGGCACTGGGCTGGCCAGGTTTGTGGGGATGTTTTACACATGCACGGGTGCACAGGGAGATGCACGGGGCAGGGCTGCACCATCACTGTGCATGCAAGCACATGGCTGAGCTTTACACAAGGACTGCTCTGCAATTCTGGGCAGCCTGCCTGCACCCTGCCTGCA